TCCCCGGCGCCCCTACCTGCTTTATTACAGCTCGCTAATGAATCGCCCATCATCACTCTAGTATCTAGTGGTGGGCAGTATCCACCACTATGATCTAAACTATAAGAATAGCATCCTACATAATCATCTGATGAAAATTCGCTGATGAATACTCAGCATGTGCTGCCTCTCTGTGGGAACAAACTCATGCAACTACATTTCCATTTACATTTTTCTTCTTTTTCTTCTGTCAATAAAGTCACACACACCATGCAACGACAGGCTGCAGTAGATACAGGTGGCAGAACTGATGGAAAACCCCCAAAAATGAAAATAAACTATAATAGCCTCAGATTTTTTCCCAGGGTAGTGTTTCTTAGTTTTATCAGACAGTTTTGCTGCTGATGATGATCCGTTGGTGATCTTTAGTGCTTTAGCTGAATCTTTGTTTTCAGCTATTCCTAACAGTTCTTTCTGACCTCTGAAGATTCATCAGAGCAACAAAAAAGTCTTGCCTCTTCATAAAAAGGCACTACAAACCTGCTATAACAGTTGCTCATCCTAAGGTATAAGAAGGTCTAAAGAAGCTTATAAACCCTTTAACTGGAAATTCAATCCCCCATCCATTTACCGTACACAGAGAAACACGGGTTTAGTTTAGAACAGCTGCTACAATGCTCACGCTGAACTCTCTGTCTGCATTACCCTACACTTTTGCTTCCAGCTTGAAAGGACACCAGCTCACCCTGGTAGTGATCGGTTCGGTCCACGGGAACGATCCGGCTCTTTAAGTGAAACGACGGGCAGCCGGCTCCTGATTGGGAGGCCAGATCCGGATTTTTTTCCTGTCTTTCTCTTCCCCCGTTTTTTTCCTGTTAAACGCCACGTCGATTGGTCAAGATGCTCGTGGCAGCGTCTGTGTATCTACACTGCCAGAGGGGCAGGAGGGGTTAAACAGACACACAGGCGCACAGTGAGCCACACAGACAGGTGGGAGGAGACAGTGACACGAGAGCGAGGAACTTGCTACATAGACAGAGACTCACAGCCACTGGAAAGGGCTGAGGAAAATGAGTGACAAGGAACGTAGTAAAGTTTGGACATATCTCATGTGATAGACAGTTCAAAGGCCCAGAGTGTAAGAGTGTGCAAGTTTAAGACAATGTCCACAATCCGATTAAGATGCGTCTTTGTTTTTGTATTTATTAATTTATTTTTGGTAGTGTGTGTGTAATCAAACATTTGATATATGTAATGTGTTTTACATGACTATTCTTTTTCCAACATAATTTGGTAATAAACTTAATTTAAAGCAACAAAAAAATGCTGAGGAACGCCACTTAAGGGAGCCCGAAAAGAGCCGGCTCTTTTTAGTGGCCGAGCCAAAGAACCGGTTCTCTAAAAAGAAGCCTGAATTCCCAATCACTAGCACTGGGAGATCGTCCGGAGATCTCGCGATACTACACGGATCTCATTCGAGCTAAACTGGAGGGATTTCAGTCTGCAGCTAACGTGCTAGCAGAGCAAAGATAACTTATCTACAACACACTTGCTGCTCTTCACAAACAAGTCCGCTTTGAGGTGAGGACATATGCTTCCAGGGAAGACTCTAACGTAAATGCGAGCTGTTTTGTTTTGCTAACACCTTCTGAATAACTGTAGAAAACCAACGCACACACTTTAAATGTTAACTTAGCCAGCATTGTGCTTGCTTTGTGGTGAGTCAGGAGCAATAAGAACAGTTCAGACAGCTAAACGCAGAGGCAGGGACAGGGAAAGTGCCAGAATAAGTCAACGCAATGTAAGTTAGCAACTACATATTGGCTTTTATTTGTAGCTGCTAGGTTTGCTTGGATAGGTTCTTTTGCCTGTTAGGTGTTTGTGCTGTCTAAATCTATCTATCTATCTATCCTATCCTAATCTTTTTCTATCTATCTATCTACCCTTATCAGCTACTGCAATAGCTCTGTAAGTTGTTTCTAATGCCGCAGTAAACCTTTACTGACCCTTGTTCTGACTCTGAACCTTTCATTTGTGCACTGCAACACCAGTGAGCCTCAGCATGGATTTAGAAGATGACACCACCGTGCTAACAACCTTGAAGTCCTTCAATTCCTTCATCAGCCACCCTGAGCCTCCACAGCGGCTGTCAGAGCAGTCGGCGGCGATTGGAAACCTGCAGAGTCAGTACAAACGCAGCATGGAGGTATACAGAAACTGACAGCGTCAACAGTGAGCTGTGTAAGAGAGGTATTAACATGCAGCCGTCGCACTGACTGACTTCTCTTTCCTTTTAGTTGTTGGAAGCAGCAGAGGTGGTTCGCTCTAAGAATCGCTACCTTCAGTTGGACCAGGAGAAGAAACAGATGGAGCTGAGTCACAAGCGAGCTCGATTTGAACTAGAGAAAACTGCTTCTGACAGCGCACGAGACTTGGAGGTACAGGTCACAATCCTTACACGTTCATGTAATGCAAACGGGGGGACAGTTGTCTTAGATTCAGGGAATTGCTGCATCAAAAGCAAACATCACAATAAAAACACATACATGTGCAAACATTACCGAGATAAAGAGATAAAACAATCAAGCAAAGTTGTCACAAAGCCATTCACTCTGTTATAAATAGCAAAAAAAATTAGAGGCATAAACATGCACACTTATAAAAACATAAAATACAAGCAAACAGTCACATCTCACTTTACATGCTAACAAGCAAATGTATGATCCTGACAACCTGAAATCATCGGAGTGCCTCCCGACCCAACTGTCTACCCTCCAGGTGTTAAAAATGTCCATTAAAAAGTATAACTGACAAGGGGACAAATAAATGTTTATGATTGTGCTTGCAGATGGCAGAATGCATCAAAAGCTAACATCATACTCCACAACAGGGAAAGGGTCAGATAAAATCATATTAGTTGCGATAGGTTTCCAATACCGTATAATACCGTAATGTAAGGCTGGTACTGGTGGATTTTCTTAAAGACAGTTGACAAAATGTGTGCCAGCTAAGCAATCTGTCAATATGGACTCCTAATTATTTTCTATTTGAACAGTGCTTGTAGTTGTAAGCCTGAAGGCCCTTTTACCCAACCGTGGAGCTGCTCAGTGGCCAGCAGATCAGACTGTGGTTGGACTGGGCGGCTTCCTGGTGTGTGACTGTGTGAATGTAATCAAGGCCCTTCTTTAAAAAAAGGAAGGTTTCCTCTCTGGAATTAAGAATTGACCTAATGTCATGGTCAAGTATGGCATTGGCAACAGATCTGTGGTCTTCAATTGATCTGGGATCTCACTCGTACTTTGATCTACAGACTATAATTGCTAATCGCACCAGTCCTTGAACTTGTCCATAAATGTATCTTTATAGCTGGTAATGTTGGAGTTGCTTGTGAATAAACTGAGGATAGCAGTGTCATCTGAGAATTTTACCACAAAGGGATTGTGTTAGAAGCTGACACAATCATTTATATACAGTACTAGTTTGATAGTCACTTTTAGATTAAAAAAAAAAAGTAGTAAAGAGTAATACCACTTCTAATTTACCAATTTTTAGATATATTTTTGGGCTTTTATTGCCTTTTAATTGATAGTGACGGCTGTAGAGTGACAGTAAAGTCAAGTCGCAGTTGAACCCCTGGCTGCTGCAGCAAGGACTCTGCCTTGGTACATAGGGTACCAGCCACCAAGTGAGCTACTGGGGCGCCCCACCTTCAAAATCCTGTAAGCAAGATGTGTGGATGAATAGTGTTAAAGAAGAACTAAAATCAGTCTGGCACATGCAACAAAACTTTCTAAGCGTCGAGACAAAGTGTAGTATTGTGGAAATGACATAATTTTGGCATCTAATAGTGACGATGAATTTTAATATTGAGTTACTGCGCACTTAGGAAACAGGACTTTTTCTCCTCAAAACTCCCTTATTCAGAGAATCCCATATAAACTTATATACAGAAGCAAGTAAAACCGGTTTCTCAAACTTTTATGTTACAGCATGAGGTTGACCGGAACCAGGATCTCTTGGGGCGGATAAAAAAGTTGGAGGAAAGAGAAACCGGGGCAGCTAAGAACCTATCAGAGCAGGTGGACGCAAATCGTGCTCTCCGTAAGAATCTGGAGAGCCTGAACAAGAAACTGGAGGAGCAAGATACTAAAGTGAACACTGCCAACCAGGTACGCACACATGCACACATGCACATCCACTTACAGTGTTTGTACTCTGATCATGTCTCTTATCTTATGTTGGCTTACTTGTGTAATCTGTTCCCAGACCATCAGTTCTTTGAAGGATGAGATCAGAGAGCTGAAGCAGAAGATTCAAAACCAAAACTCAACAATTTCTACTCAATCTCTGGAAAACCAGGAACTGCAAGAACAGTTAGATTTACAACGCAGGTACAGACACGTACAGAGACTACCGCTTACCTAGCTTTGTTTAAGGCTAATCGATTGTGCGCCGTGCTGCATAAGATAAATGCTGACCACACACTTCTGTCTGATTGGTATTATAATCAGGAAGTATCAGGAAGTGTCCCAGCTTTGTCAAAGTCTCCAAGCTGCCCAGTCCTCCTGCTCAGAGCACATCATCAAGATTAAGGTATGTTACACAACACTTTTGGCCACTCTTTGATCTCAGTTTGTGATCAGAATTTGAACATGGTGGACCATATTGTCTGCTATGTAAAAAAACTGGAATCACAACCTGTCTCTTTACAAAAATGTAGAGATGCACAACTTAAATTATCAGTAAAACAAAATAGGAAGAGAAACACTTAAATTAAATTATTGTTTTTTCTTGTTAATAATTATATATATTTCACTTTTTCACAAGTCATGTTTGGCTTCACATGTGTTTGTAGGTCATTTTTACATAAGTATTCACGTTCAACTGTTTAAAATTATTTCATTCTTGATGTCTAAGGCTGAACAAGTATAGTTTATATTATTATATAATATATAATTTGTGTTCTAATACACACATATGTTTGGGATTTCTTTGGCTGACTTGTCCATGCTTTGGCAGGAGTTGGAGAGACGTCTTGCCCTCCAGGAGCAAGACGTCGCCATTGTGGAGTCTGTTAAGTCAGAGGTGGCCAAGGTTCCAGACCTGGAAAAGGAGTTGAAGCGCCTCAGAGAAGATAATGCCTTTCTCAGGTCAAATACATTTTAAAGTTTTTAATGCCTTCCAAAATGTCTCTCCCTTCAACAGAATAGACAGGATTTCATTTTTAAAGACTACAGCCCAGTGCGACCCCACTGTGCTCAAAAGTTTTCTCTTCGAACTATGCATGTCAGTGTGACTTTGGGTCATCATACCACCCTACGAGGCATTAGGTGACTTTGCATCCTCCAAACCAGACATGATGTGTTCAGATTTGAACTGCATAGTCGAGATGCTATCAGAATAATTCCATTAATGCACTATAGGTTTATATGTTGTCCAATTTCCTTTGTTGCTCTTTTTGTTGCTCATTTACTACTGTTATGCAACTACATCTGAAATCACATTTTAAAATTGCGTTAGACTGTTGATATAGGCAGGGATAAAGATAATGAGGCCATTCCTACATCAGACACAAGGTCCCAAACTTTAAAGTTAATTTTGTGTTTTGTTTTTTGTTATTGCTCTGTTCACTCCACTCTGTCCAGGGAGAGCAGAGAGAATTGCAGCCTGTTGAAAGAGGAGGTGGAGGGGCTGAGGAGGAAGCTAGAGAGGATGTCCAAAACGAAAGAAGAGCTGGTCAATATGGAACTGGAGAAAGAGGTAAAGTTTTTGTAGTTGTGAGATTGTATTGTTTCACTCTGTAGCATATTGATATTCACATTGTCTCATTCCACTACTAAAAAACATTAAATGAGAAGAATATTTGTCTTAGAGCCAACCATTTCATTGGCAGGCCAGAATATTTGGATAATATTTACCAATTACACTTTTTATTCTATTAATGTCCATATTATTTTTTTTTATTTTTTTAAAATATTATATCAATATAGTAAAGTCTACTTCTCAAAATGTACTGTTATGTTGTTCAACTGTAATATATCTTTTCTTTTTTTCGCACTGCTGTCATAATAACATTATAATGTTCTTCCTATAAATGGAGAAACATCTGAATTGTTGTTTCTTGAATCCTTAGAGGTTGGCAGAGAAGCTCCAAGCCTGGGAAAACCTGGGGCAATCTACTGGGCTCAACATAAGGTCAGATACTGTGTCAAAGTATGCCTGTGTGTGATTATGAGACAGGAAAACAGAGGTAGACAAGTGTTCAACCATTTTATCATACATTTTTATGAAATATGAATGAAATATAAATAGGTAACACTAGGTGGAGCTGTGGTCACTCCAAATAAATGTGCCTCATCACTGTGGATTGATTCCACCAATGTGTATAAGTGTGTGTTTGTTTTATACCTGCTTGTGTGCATGCTGAGTGTGTCTCAATGCATCCAGGCAAAACTGGTAATGAAAGAATGATTGCATGTTTCCTTGTGAGCAGTGGAGCAGGTCTGACAGATTATAAACACTGCACTGTTGTCCTATTGCATGCATGCATGCATGCACACATGCATACACGTGTACACACACCATTTTCTCTATGATTAACTGGCTATGATGTAAACAGAATGTTAAATGAAACTCATCCACACAGCGTATCCGGTTTGTCTTATACTGTGTGTGTGCGCTTGAGTGTGTATAAAATGTGTGTTACAGCTTCCTACAGGGCATGAAGAAAAAGGTAGACGAACTGAAAAATTATGAAATGAAATGAAATCTTTCCTAAATTTTTTGGTCTTATGTAATATGTTATGGAACCTGATAGCATTTGTTAAATTTACAGTTATTTAAATACCTTGGAGGATCATAGGAATGTAATACCAACCTCAGCTTAATATACGAAATAATTTGGTTGGGCTGTCAATCATTCTTCTGAAAATTTAAGTCAGTCTAGACTAGTCATCCTGGGTAAATTGAGTTGAAAATTTGAATCCTTCCTCAAAATTCAGGTGTTCAGACTACCATGTCATTGGCTCCTAGAGTGCCTTGCTGGGGAAAAAAAGGAGCTGTGTTGCACATACGGCCTCTAAAGGGCAGCCATATGTGTGAGCCTCATACTGATCAAAAGTAAAGGTTAATGCAGCTTGCAAATCAACAGTTAGGAACTCCTTCAAGCTGTTTTTACTGTTTACTAAATGGCCAAGTTAATTGTCAGGATGTTGTTTCCCTGATGCAGTCTTGTGAAGTAGATGGCAAATGGAAAGCAAGAGTGTGCCATCCAGAAGTCTGTTTTTCACCTTTATTTTACTCCGTACAACAGTGCTGTGTGACAATTAGTATTGATTTGGATTTGTGTATTAGTGGCATATTATGATTGCCACATAGGCTGTTAAGCAGGCTTTAGTTCATTAAGTTGTTTTGTGCTAAATCTTTTCAGGTATATAATTGTTTAACACCACACTGAATCTCGATTAATGCTATTATAATGTTTTTATAGTTAAAAATGACCAGCAAGTTTAAGTAGAAAATAAATTTAATGACAGTGACTGAATGATAGTATGACAGTGCCATCAGTCATGTAACAGTGTCTGAATTAATGTTGACATCAAAACAAGGCTTCCTCTTAAAGCCCATTTCTAGGCTGTTTCTTGTTCTGTCATTAAATATGAAATATCATAAGGGGCTGTAGTGTTTTGGCATTTGTGTGTGCATTTGTATTATTGATTTGTTAATTTTTCTGGCCTGGAAGTCATTTCTCATAACTGCAAGCTACTGATTCTTAATCCATTGTTTTGCTTTAGTTTACATACTGTAACTCTTTCTGTCACTTGACATTTCAGCGTGGTCATTAGTGGTGTGAAAAGAATATGTTGAGGAGCAATTGTTAAGGAGTAAACACATTGGCGCTGTAGTTGAGAAGTCTGTCTCTTCCAACCCAGGATTTGGTTTCTTACCAGCAATTTGTGCTGTTTTGCCAGCCGAAAATAACTTTTGGACAGAAGTTAACCCTCCCCAACAACAATCTGTGTGGCTGCCTGGTGGGGTAGACAAGCCCCTCAGCCGCAGCTCGAATTTGCCAGCAGTTGGCTGGTTGCTGGTGTTTATTTCCTTTCCTTCTGTTACACAGTCTGATAACATTGTGTTTGCTTATGTGTACCCATGCGGTTGACAATTGAAAAATAAGATTGACAGAAACAGAAAGAAAATATGTTCAATGTGGAAGGGACAGACGATGAAAATAACTGGAGAGGATTTCTGGAATGGGTTTTCTTTTGAGTTTTCACCAGCTAAAGAATTGTGCCTGAGCTCTATGTATTTCCTAAAACAGTAAAATAATCAGAGTATTAATTCTTTAAAAAACTAAACTGAACAAATCTTTGACTTGGGCCTGAAAAAACAAGCGACTTGTAGTCGTCCCTTTAGGCTGTGGGAAATTGTGATGAGCATTTTCATTCAACTTCAATCTAAAATTATAAATTAAATAAATTAACTGATAATGAAAATAATAATCACTTTGAGCCCTAGCGTACCCTGTGCTGCTCCTATCTTGTATCAAAGTTAGTGTTTAAATTACTGTTCAGTATTGTAGAAACACTGTCTCTCCTCCAGAAAAATTGATTCTATGGTCATTTGAATGGATTTTAGAGCAGTTGCTGTGCAAATATTATAGATAACATACAGATAGTATGTAACATGAGGTTCACTCATACATGGCTTTGAACTTGAGTTTCCAAGGTAACAAGTAATTGACTACACTGTCTGAAAACACAGTGTTTAGTAGTAAGAGTGGGTTTGTTTTCTAAAACTGAATCCATACCACTTTAACAAGGCTCTGGTGTTGGAATCACTTCACCTTACACATGTAAGTGTGTGCGCTCAAAACTAGACTCACAGTACACTTGCACTACCCTGACACTGCATTTACTCGTAGTTACCTCGCAGGAGTTCACAACATCTCACCCAATAATATGCAACCAACCAGTTATTTGCAACATCAACAGAGATGTCTGGCTCCTGACCTGTGAAAAACCCCACCCAAAAAAAGCAGAACACAGAAAAAGAGCCTCCCGTATAAGCTTAGAGAAGGCTAATCCCTCTGTGCTCTGGGCAATGTGGAATTACCTACTTTGGGTACCATGGTTATTCTGTCATATGATTCATGAACTCATATTTTAGTCATGAGAGTTTTTTCTTAAGGCTCCTCCTAGCGGGAGTGGGTACACATAGTGTACTTTCCAGCCTTGATGTTCACCTCGACGGCTTAGCCTTTTCTTGTCATATGACTCAGTGGATTGCCTAATGCTGGATCACAGTACCAGATATCAGGGTACCACTCTAGTGAAACCTGAAGTTGGAGGACCTGTTTGATTTTTACTATGGAAGAAAAGCAAAGTGAAATTGATCTCTCAAGGGTTGAAAGTCTTTTGCCCTCATATCCTGACCAGACCTAACCTCAGGTTTGTAATTTTAACTGCTGGGTGGCAGCAAAGTAAGATTTTGAGCTCAACTCTATTTTTAAGCTCAGCTCCCTTTTAATGTATGCCCATTTCACATGAGATAAAGAGATAATGACATTCATTTTTTTGGCAGATCCACAGTTACACACAGGATTTAGAGTTTGGAGGGCATGTGGTGCATCTCTGTCGGTGTATGTGACCTTCTGAATTGTTGCCTTCCCATTGTGTGTTTATGCATGTGTCTGTGTGTGTTTTGTAATCTGTCAATCTCTCCCACGGAGTGAGTTTGTTTTGTAGAAGTGTGACCAGTATTTAGCCCACTATCCTCCACTCATCTCTCCCTCTGCTGCTCATGTCATTTTATTTCCCAGCTCCCCACTGGCTGACTAACAAAAGAATATGGAAAAGCCGTCGTTTTCATCTATTCTGTCCTTTCTGCTCTCTGTCATATTGATTTTTCATTGTGTGTGTCTGAGTAAGTGTTTGTGTGTGTGTGCGTATGTGTGTACGCACACATGTGTATGCCAACTGTTCTGTGTGTGTCTGTCTGTAGGAAACCAGAGGATCTGTCCAGGGAGGTGATTCAGATCCAGCAGAGAGAAATTGCTCTGAAAGAGCAGAACTACACACTCAACAGCCGGTAACACACACTTCTTTACACATACACAAAATCCCTCTTTGCCTTCAGACCTTTTTCTCTCATTCTGTCTGCCTGCATGCCTCTCTCCCCCCCATGTATCTATTAGAGCGTATCTCTGAGAAGTCCTTAATTGTCACAAAGTTAATTAAACTGGTCCTGATTCTGATAGCACTCCTGACAGTAACCACTTGCGTGTGAGAGAGAGACAGAAAGAGAGAGACAGAGAG